GCATCTAGACACTGTCTGTTTGAAGTCATCACTTTACTAACCTGTTTAGTTTGTAATCAAATAAGCAAAAGCAATGTATTTTGCTCGTAAAGCAAAAATGTATGATTCAAATTCGGGAACCACGAATTAATACACACTGTTATCTGAAGACTTTAGAGGCAATATCATATGAGTAGTTTAAAACACATCTGGAATTCCAGGTAAGAAAAGTACTATTTTCTGACGAGTAGAATAAAACTACTATTCTAAAGTTGAACTAAAGATCTAGGCGGTACATGTTCCTGAATAACCCTAATCTTCGTAAATTCCAACATAGTTCCTTCACTGCTATATTCATTACAAAGCACAACATCAAGATGAAATTAAATGTCATTTAGAAGTAACTGTCAGGTAATCATAGATACGAATAGGTATATATCTACACTCATCTAAGCAGGTTTATTGTTTACCTTATTTCTAGTGAAGCTAATGATAGTTATTCGACACATTTATTCAGTAGAGAGATAAATTAGCCAACATTAAATGTCAACAACACTTTACTTCATTAAACAATCAATCAAATCAGTGGAATTAAGGGGAATACCATAGATGAATACTTTTAAAAACGTAGCCAGATAAAATTATATAAATTATTAAGCAAAGGAGAATCAGATTTCATAACTTTACAGTTTACTAGAAAAAGTGTTCTCCTTATCTAATCGAATATCATCTTTTGAATATTTTGGTTTGTTCCTTAAACGGTCACAAAGCAGAATGGCTTTATTTTTCAGTATCAAAACATTATTATTCTCTAATTTTTTCGTTAATAAATCTAGCAATGATACTTGATAATCTTGGTTAACGGGTGTTTCATTTTATTACATGACAATTATTAATATTTACATGTGAATACAGATTGTGAATAGATTGAAACCAGCATTTTTGCTTCTAACAGATGATTTAGCATATCTACAAAACAGTTATTAGCCTGTACAAATATTTCAGTGTTCCAGTTTTACCTACAGAGTGTAACAAAATATTTAGAAAATTCTTGCGTTTTCAAACTTAGGTGGGATAACTAGACTACGCAGAAATGTTTTGTTCACACATTTATCCATCTTAATGAAATGAATGCTGAAGGTTTTGACAAGCCTAGAGATGAAACACAATAACTGAATATTAATGCTTGAAGAGCTCCCCACTGTACCTGTCATAATCATCAGCTGTAAATCCTCTCTCTTACTGACATGAAGTCGAGTGTAGAGATTTCTAAATTGACCAATATTCGTTGTTCGCTAATAACTGAACTAATAAGACGCATTGAGCCACGTGTATTAACATAATTCAGCCTTTCCAGTCAACGCGATAACTACTTAGCTACGCACAACACAACACCAGAGAAAAACAAATATAATCAGTTGATACGGCTGCTAAGTTGTTCAACTGCAATGAAAAGATTGTTTGAAAAATCCCCCCTGAAAGATCTAATCAATATTTATACTCATCTGGACGTTTCAAATAACTTTATAATATTATTATGCTTTTTTCCTTCTAGACTGTATACTAGTATTTTGATATTTTTATACCACAAGTTGATTTGTTCTTTAATTATTGATCTTTGTCCTTGTTTAATTTGTAATTTTAATGCTTATCTTTGTTGTTGTGTTGTACAATGTGATTTTGTTTAAGTGAATGAAGACCACTTTTGACCATGAACTGTCTGCTGGAATTATTGGTATGCGATTGTTGTGGACAAAGTTTTGATTCTATCGTTTTTAGGAATATTCTATCAGATTCTATGTACTCATTTTGTACTTAGACTAGATTGTATAGCTGTCTAACAACACTATTGAGGTAATTTTGAGATTTTGATGTAATTATTGTTTAACAAAATAAAAATTTTATCGAAGAACGATCTTCTTTTTCCTGTCTTTGAAGTGTTATGTGACTGCATCTGTCTAAGGAGAGTTTTGCCAGCTAGACAATGGGATGCAGAGAACGCATTCTAGCATTCAGACTACAACAAGTTGGTTTTTAGTCGTCACATGAACACTGTGTGTACACCTTAAACATCTAAATCCAAATCACTTTTCTCCCTCTCTCGAATATTTAGCCTAAAGAAGATCAGTTCCATTTTAAACAAACGACTTAAACTATAAAACATACACACTTGACAAACAGAAACTAAGACTTGACTTGACTGAATTCACCCTAGTAGGAAGCCGTAACCAGTAGGGTGCAACAGGTTTAAGATGAGGCAGTAACTCATCGAAGAAGACATTGAGAAGTGGTCGCGCTATGTCGTGTGAATTGGCAGAAGTTAGAATTCAAGAACCATTGGATCGGGTCCCAGTGGCTCAATGGCCTACGAGCTCGCCTTGTACCCAGAAGGTCCTGGGTTTGAGCCGTAGTGGTGGGTGCATACTGATGAGGAGTCCCAAACTAGGACGAAACAGCCGTCCAGTACTCCCAGCTGGTTTTCCGGTGGTTCTCTAACTGATGTCAGCTCACGATTAAATCCTCCATGAAATGAAACAAAATCCCTACAAAACCAATACTTGAATTCATTTCACTAAAGAATTTTATTGAATTGTTATTATTTTTAGAAAAAAAAACAAGAATAATACAAGACATTGTAAATTCCAGCTAAGTAAAAGTTTTTTTTCTTTTTGTTATACAAGATAGTATCACGTGACTACTGAATTAGAGAAAACAAGTATATATATTAAAAATAAAGCAAAAACTAGTAAATATTTTGTTTGTTTTTTCTACATTTTACCACACTGAAGTGAAATCATCTTAGAAATTTGGAATGTTTCTTTTTTGAATACATGATGATCAATAAAATCTCTCTTGTCAGTGTATTATGCATGAAACGAATGGGATTACTAGTGCTGAAAAATATACATTGGTGGTTAACTTAAAAGGTGAGTATGACTTTACTGAGAGTGGCTCTTAAGATGAACTTATATATATATATATATATACAGATTACAGCTTGGTTCCACATCGTATTTTTTGGTACAGGTATGGAATTTTCAGCATATGATATCGGTAGCCCAAATTTTGCAGCCCGACCATAGATATTAGATGTGCGTCGACAGGTGATCGAACCTCGAACCATTTGCATAGTCGGCAAGAGTCCTAACCACTGTGCCACCGACGCATATATATATATATATATATATAACACTTATCATGGATGTCAAATATTTCATTGGTATTAAAAATCACTTGAAAAAATTAAGTATCCACTGATTCAGCTAGTAGATAGAGAGTTGAGTGTCAGTATGATGAGTGTATGCATTCTTTATGAGCACAGAAGGATTGTGTTATGGATAATTAGTATTTTTATGCTAGGATGACTCATGTACCTACTCAACACTACGTATAAAAAGCAAAGCGGTAAGGTGAGTTCATGTACGTATATATGTGGTCTAATTAATTCAACTCTTAACTCTGAACAGTTGATGTGAACAGTGTAAATATTTTATGATGATGAATGGTGTAAGAATTCATTTTCCAAACTTAGACATGAAGCAGGGTAACTATAATTTATACCTAAGTCATAGACGAAATTTTTTGCTTAAGTAGGATGACATCAGGAGATGGCTTTCATAGAAAAACATTACCTACAACAATCTAACATGGTGAACTTATTTTTAACTTTTAATTGATAAAAAATATTAATATACGAAACAATATAAGATATTATGTAGAAAGTAATTAGAACATTAAAGTCACTCACTAACTGGTTTCCATTAGAAACACAGACTTTTAGTAATTTCGTATTTTTTGGAACAAGAGCTTTGGACGTTTAGAAGAAAAAGAATCAAGGGTGCTACTCATAGTAAGCAATAGTAGCTGGATGCCAATCTCAATGGAAAAACTATAAGTGAGGGGGGGGTGGGAATGCATGTACATAAACCTGATGAGTTCTAAATAGAACAAAATGTGCCTCTTGGATTCCACAGCTAGTCATCATTCCTAGATAACATTATGGTAATTCTCGGACATCGTCGAAACATACATGCTAGGCGCTGACATGTTAACAGTCACCAAATATTTCGGTCTAATCAACTAACTAGGAAAACAAAACTGACCTATACAAATAAAGATTATCTTTCAAGAGTTAGTCTGCAAGGATTTAAGTTATTTCAAGGTTGATCACTGGTTGGTATCATTTCGAACCTCAGTGGGTGAGTACTGCTGTTGAGTTCCAAACCAGGACGAGACAACTTTCCACTGCTCTCTGGTTTTCAGTGCTCCTCTAAATGATATCAGTTCATGTTCAAACTTGAAACAGATCAAATCGCTACAAACTAACTCTTGAAAATTAATCTGATGCTTTCTAGTGAATGGCTTTTGGATGAGAAATAGTGACCGGTGGAGTCCATCCGGATTTGAGGATGAATGTTTACCGATGACAATGGCCGATGGTCGCGCTGAAGTTAGAATTCCTGGGCTGGATGGTCTACAAGCCTGCTTTGTAACAGGAAATTCTTGGATTTGAACACCCGTGGATGAGTACTGCCGACGAGTTCAAAAGTAGGAAGACTCAGCTGGCCAGTACTTCTTTGGTCTTCACTGGTACTCTAAGTGATTTCAATCCATGTTCAAACTTGAAATAAAAGTTAGTTTCTCTCAAGTAATAAAATTACTAGGTGCATTACAGCATAAAGTTTATTAGGAAATAAATGAATGGAATAAGGATACCATTTTAAAAAAACTTCCTGATTGAGGATACCATCTACATGTGAAACAGACACATTGGTGTTGAGTGAGAGAAAAGGAAATGTTGGTTCACAGTTGAAATTTAATTATCTTTTTGTAAATTATTGCTCTAAGCCTTTAAAGTTTAGACTTTAGAATTTAATTAAAATAAGGCACTGGTTGATAACGTTATTTATTTTAAAGACTACGCATGCTAGTCGTCAGTTTTGTTTTTTAAAAGACCTTTTTTCAAAACAAAATCATTTTACGGGAAATAAATAAATAAAAACCCATAGAATTCAACCTACCTTATCTTCTGTTGTAACAAAGTCAAAAGTTGATTTCATATTGAATGACCTTGTACAGTTGATGAAACTGTTTAAATCATCACTTTTAATAGCATTAATAGCTCTTCTTAAGTTCCCTTGCAATCCTGCATTTTTACGTTCTCCATATGGATCATAAGACATATTGTGTTCCACTGGACTTCTTTTTATGTTGAATTTATTTTTCCTTTATATTTCTATCAATTAATTGATCCGTTTATTAGTTTATGTACAATATAGAATTGTCTTCATTGCTTTCAATTGAATATACAAATGATTTCCTTTTCAACGTTCATTGAATATTAACAGTATAACTTAATACAATCATGGTATATATGAACTTGTATTTATATGGACATACACTAATTAGAAGAGGTTGACTAACTCTGTACACCTATATGAAAGATGCACACTGGTATACATTTACACTAATAATATATATATGTATATGCAGTGATTAGGATTCCAGAATAACAAAAGAACTGGTTTTTATTTTGTTTTCTCTCATTGAATTTTTTCAAATACACGTAAAAGCACACACACACACGCACTCATACTCACACCCACACTTGCACACACACACACAGACACCTACTCTATGAAGTAACACATGACTTCTCGCATATCTTGTCAGCATAACCCACGCATTACACTATAGTAATTATAAATTACATTATGAATTAACCAATCCTTCTAAGTACACAGAATTACTCTGCATAATTTAATTATAATTAATCAGCATAAATGAATTTCTGCACAAATTTTTCAAAATACAGATAATATGAAAACCTTTTTGGTGTATTTCTTTGCAGTGATAATTTACCACACTACTAGGTGAAACAGATGGATGACTGTTATAATAATAATAATAATAATAATAATTACAGTCTCTATTTTGCTTAAATGTAAACTACATTTTTTATTTTAGTCTAACAAATCAGCATCTAAAACCGGTATATTTAGAAACATTTGAAAACCATGTGACTCATAAATATAATACACTTTTAATAGACATAAGGCTGTTTTAGTAGCAGTCACTGCATTTCGCCATGAAGAAGTTCCGTGTGTCGCCTAATATATATATATATATATATATATATATATATATATATATATAATTCCTCTAGGTTCCAATTGGAACATAAGTCTTCAGGAACATATCTTCGTTTCGTCCTGTTCTCTGTAGTCCCCTTCAACTGGCCACACTAGTGCCCATAGGTTTTGCCCTCCGTCTTCTCACATAATCTTCTCTATGTCACCCTCTGACCTTTGCCCAACTTGTCGTTTCACATTCCAGTTCCACGCGAGGGTATGCTTGGCGCGAAATTTTTATTTTACTTATTTATTTTTTAATTTTTGGTTACAGCTTGATTCCACACTGTACTTCTGGTACAAATATGGAATTTTCAGCAGTATGATATCGGTAGCCCAAATTTTGCAGGCCGACCATAGATATCAGGTGTGTGTCGGCAGGGGATAGAACTCCAAACCATTTGCATGGTCGGCAGGAGTCCTGACCACTGTGCCACCGACGCACAGACTTGGGTGGGACTTAAATCAATTAAACTATTGATCTTCCAACTGAATGTTTGGATCTATTCTTGAAAATAAACCCGTTACATATTGCATATGGTTTCAGATAACTTTTAAAGTAGTACAAGTGTCTACGAAGATTATTAATTACTCACATATATTTGAACTACATAGATGACGGAAATTGATGAATGACAAACAAATAAAATAAGTTCTGAACTCTTGGAGGGCATCAGGACTAAACGGAATTCCCCTAAAAGTAGTGAAAACGAACCCAGAGACTGCAATAAATATGCTCACACCATTATTGCAAAAGGTTTGGAAAGAAGAAAAGGTGCTGACCGTTTGGAAGAAAGGCTAACTACCTTGCCAAACTACCAAGGAATGGAGAATTACGCCTATCTCTGCAAGAACTGGCGTGAAATAATGCTTTTATCCACACCAAGTAAAATACCAGTCAGTGGTCTCTTCAGCGTGGTTCCAATTCATCTTCATTTCTTTCAGCATATTTGTTGGGCTGTGGGTTATTGGTTAGTTCATTGTCAGAATTTTTTTGTTGTTTATTTTTTCTGCTCATCTGAAACTTTTTTGTATTGAGGCAACCTGGAAGTTATTGGTTGATAAAAGTCTAAAGTCTATTCAAAATACTTTTGGTAACACACTAAGTCTTTGAGTGATATGCATGAATTAATATGACACTGATGTTGAAAATACGAATATTGTCCCTTATGCTGAGTGCAGAAGTCTTCCCCAGTGATTTCCGAGTAATGAAGATTCATCGGATTGACTGAATTTTACATCCTCATGTGTGCTGTTTGTGGCTGAAACAATAAGGCGAAGGTAAGTGAGAGAAGCGACTGACTTCAATTTTTTTTTCTGTTAATTATGAATGATTCTTATTTTTGTTGGTCAGGTGTCTTCTCTACGTTCACTTGAAATCCTGCCTTCGTTTACTTTATCTACCAACTTGATAGTTTTGACCGCTGTATTTAGTTATAATAAAAAAGATTTGTGGCTGAGGTAGAGGATTTTAATTTGGTTGCATTCTTTGAGCTGGGATGGTTTAGTTGTGAAGTCTTTTATTGTCATTCTAGACAACATCTTCGGTAAAAACTTCAATATCAAGTGATTTGACTCATTGAAAATTGAAATATGCTCACTTCATATTGAAGTTTCCACTGAAGATGTTGTCTATAGTGACTAAAAAGTATACCCAGTCAATTTATTGTAATTGTCTAACCCAAATGACTTGATTAACGTATCGATAATTTATTAAAGTCACAACTAAATCCCTGATAATATCATATCGCTACATTTTATTCTTAATCTACTGGAGAGAAAGCCTGAGTTAGGCAGTAACATTAAACGAACATGGAATACTACATCTTCTAAATAAAGTTTTATCTGGCTTTTTACACACATCTGGATTTAGAGGATTATGATTAAATAACTAGAAATTTGAATAGTAAACTTTAGGCAGGCAAAAAAGTGATCATCTTGAATAATGTTCAAATATTGTACAATTAACTCATTTAGTTATGCACCTAATGTAATCACGGGAGGAGTTAAACCTGTGAATCACATGGTAAAGCTAGTATGAGTAAGTTTGTGTTTATTGAGGCCAAGGGCAGACAAAAGATGTGATATATATATAACTGCACATTTCTTCTCCATGTTGGCAAAATATGAGGTCAGTTGGAAGTAAACTGGGGCCTTTAAAAGGTATTTGTCACATTTAGTCTAATTTACTTTATTATTTTTCTTCAAGAGTTTAGTTGCTAAATTTTTACATTCTTTGACTGTACACAGCATGCTGTTATAGGCATGAAAACTTCAGTATTACCAGAGACTCGTGACCGTTTTTTTCATTAGTAATATGACTACTATTGTTATGATTGTTAATGACATTACAGTTGTTAACTGGCACTACAGTTTGCTATATTACCAAGCTATGTCTTAGTTGAATAACACTGTTGGAATTCTACTTGGTTAACTCCACCGTTAAGAAATTTTTTTCTAACGACTTCATGAATTGTATGTCAAAATCGATCAGTGAATTAAGCGTGTTCATTTCCAAACTTGTTTGTGGGTGTTCATTGTTTCAGAGCTTGTTTTAATCTGATTTTCTTCGAAGTTGACATGACTAAGAGATAAAATAAGGTGTAGCCACTCGAAGCAAAACTAAAGGCGATTTATTACTATTAGGTGAAGGATTTGAAACAAAGGGGGACCTTTGAAACTTTATATGGAATTCTCAGCAAGGCAGGAACAAGGTGTCATTCAGTTCTACAAAATTACCTAGAAACAAATTAGATTAGTTGAACAATCTTGTGGAGCCCATCAAACAAAATAACTTAGTTTATCTAGAAGCCTACAATGATTGTGAGGTTAAATACATAGATCAGATTAGTAGGATTGGGTCAGTCGCATTAACGCAGCATGAAAACTCAGCCAACTTTAGACTAGTAGGCCCTAATAAGATAAGGAATCAAGCAAATGGCTCAATTATAGCGCCAAATGTAATTATTTACAACCATACATCATGATGGGATAAGATGACAGTCCTAGAATGTAACATAACAGGGTGTAGGGAGAGATCGACAGAAGGAAGCTTGATTAACCTGATCCATTTAGAGTATGTTGTCTTTTTGTGGTTGTAATGTTATACAAAATAAGTATTCAGAACCGCAATAAGGGTCTACATATGATTTGCTCAACTAGTAAAAGCATTCAATATATTTGTATTTGCATTGAATGACTTTAGTAGATTTTCAAGCGTTGGCAGAAAATAAAACTGATGGGCCATTAGACTTTGTCTCGCTGACTGAAAAATCAGTAAGCTCACAATGTAACCTGAAGGTTTTGGTTCGATCCCCAATGGGAACATAGATGCATATTGTTGGAGGTTCCCAAACAAGGAAGAAACAGCTGTCCAATACTTCTCTTACTGAAGTCAGCTCGTATTCAGACCTGTAATCTTCCGTAGATTGTTGCAAATTCTTGATTGTTCGAGAGATATTTTGGAATGTAGTACATAGTTAACTTGTAGGGGAAACCTTACGATTTTAGTAGACTCAACTTCATTTATGACAACAATATCTTAATCATCAAGTCTCTGTTTAACATAGCTTAGAATTCTCAGTGAAACGTGACCATTCATTGTGTTTCGTCTTCTAAGTCTTATGAAAATGTGAGTCAGTATTTCCGGTGGAAGAGTTTTCGAGAACCATGCACGTTTACACAGCTGCATTTTTCTCTTATGACGCATGAATTATGTAGTTATTACATCATGAATACACAATCTAAGGAAATTAATTTCCAAGGAAAATCTCTTCACTAATCAATCAGTCCATTAAAGCACAGTGATTCTAATTTTACAACCTAATCAATTTCTTGATATTGTGTGATGGCACACATACTACTGTGATTACCGAGTATTTATTTATTTTTTATTATTTTTTTATTACAGCTTGATTCCACACTGCATTTTTGGTACAGGTATGTTATTTTCAGCATGTGATATCGATAGCTTAAATGTCGCAGGCTGACTATAGATATCAGGTGTGTGTTGGCAGGAGATCGAACCTCGGACCATGTGCATGGTCGGTGAG